AAGGAAGGAAGGAAGGAAGGAAGGAAGGAAGGAAGGAAGGAAGGAAGAATATAGTGAGAGTGAGAGAGGGTTTGAGGGAAGTCCTTGGCTACCACAGGTGCCCTGACACAAGTGATGTCGAGCTGGCCACACTCACCTTGGCCACACCTACTTTGGCCACACCCACCCCAGCCCCCCGAGGTCAAACACAACCCTGATGTGGCCCTCAATGAAATCGAGTTTCACACCCTTCTGCTAAGGGATGATTTTAATTTTAAAAGATATTGCATTCTCAGACTATAACATTTTGTAAGATACCCATTTGTTTCCTGAGATCACTTTCTAGTTTTACTTACAAAATAGGTTTTCCAGTTTATAGGGAGGAAAAAAAATTAACCACTTTCATAACAGAAGTTTCATCAATCAAGCGAGAAGTATTAACTAGGCATCTTGAGATCTCTATCAGAGAAGAAAGAAGCCTGAGGGTATCATAATAATTTACACAAGGAGATTAAAAAGGATGACCTCTTCTTCAAGAAGGAAGACAGTCATCTGTGCAATAAAATACCTTTCCTGCAAAACTCTACCGAGAATGTCATAGGTCTTGTTTATAATTATATATAAGACAATTGTTCTATTAAAATAAGGAACGGGTTGTTGTGTAAACTGCAGGCAAAGAAAATGCTGCTTAAATAAAGCATCAGCAATAATATTTAATTTATAAGGAAAAGATAGGATCAACTACTTTGGTTTTGTCTTCATCCCATTATTCATTTCCTAAATATTATTAAATTTCATTCAAAAATTTTGTGATGTGATTGAAGAAAAGAGAATCATATTTAGCAACTAGTCGCAGAGAAAACATCTCCTCCTCCTGAATCTAACATAGAAAGACCTACTTGAAACCCCCAAATTAAAGTCTGTGAAACCCTAAATTACAGTCTTGGGAAAAAACCAACTGTACCATATATTTTCATCGTGGTATAATAGAGAAATTACCACACTTGCTCTAGCAGAAATATCAAGCGAACCATGTTTGTTATAATTACACAATGATAACTGTGAAAGCCGCAAGTTCAACAAACAAAACAAGCACCGTTTTCTTGCACAGTGCAATACAATAGCACAAAACTTCAGGAGTGAATTCAAATTTAGACACTCTGAAAGTACAGCCATTGTGATCCCTGGGACTTATAATAGGTTGTTATACCAATTTCCCTTGATTTCAATGAGCCCATTTTTTTTAAAAAAAAAGGATAAATCAATCTGAATTCAAAAGAGTAATAGGAAAGTACAAGTAGTTGCTTGTACAAAGGAAAAATAAAAAACAATTACCTTCCAACATTCAACTAATGCAGTAATACACACACACACACACACACACACAATGTAGAATGTCAGAATGTGTTGCATAGATATCTGAATACATGAATCAATAATGAATTTTGCAGGCTATAGAAAGTTGAAATTCTTAAACGTAGTTACTTCAGCAAGACTTAATCTCTAATTTCTGTTTTAGCCACTGTTATGTACGTAAAACAATGATCACTCAGTTATATATAACCACACTTGAACTATATTGATAAGTTGGGAAAGTGGCAGGACAGATGAAATTCTCACGATTTTTGGACAAATGTAACTTTGTAACTCTTCCAAATTTTATTGGCAAAAGGCTTATCATAAACTGACCAATCACAACAATTTCCTACCTCTCTTCTCACACGCCATCATTATAGTATGGATAAAATAACAAGTGTGAACATTCATTCATGTTAAGAAGCCTTAAATTCATATTTTTCACTTGTCAGAATATACTAGCACCAAGCCAAAATAAATATCACAGCATCTTAAGAGGAAAAAAAGAAATCTCTGTCCTCACTTTTTGGGGCGACAATCATGTCCAATCATTTCCTTCAGACTAAAAGAGCTCATTCTGTCAGAGGCCTCAAAGTCCCCTAATTAATTACTATGATGAAAAGCAAAATTTGCTGCTCCGAATCACTGTCGCTTAAGAAGAAACATTTCATCCATCTGACAGACTCTGCAGAATGCAACAAAGTGCCTTTCCATATCCAAAGCAAACTCCTTCAACAGGACTTCATTTGCAAGCATTTCAAACATCACCAAAAACACAAGGAAGAAAAAAATCAGCCTTGGAAACTCTACCTTCCTGAACTGCTTGAAACGGGTTGTTGCCATCCACAAAAGTCACAGAGATGGTGATTTTCTCCGTTTGTAAGATTTCATCATTTTGGTTGAGATCAGAAACGGCCATGCGAAACACCTCCTCATCCTTTTTTGCGGATTCATCGAATATTGCCCCTAAAAAAAAGAGAGAGAGAACATGGTCAAAATCCAGGACAGCAAAAGTTAAGAACAGAGATGTAACACTTGAGATACATGTGCCCACCGGTGTGGAATTCACAAAAAAATTACTACTCTGGGCATGGCTTGGTGGACATGGTGCGGTTTGGTGGGCATGGCTTGGTGGGTGTGGCATGGGAAGGATACTGTAAAATCCCTATTCCCTCCCCACCCCACTAACCTGCTTTCCAGCTCTGTTCTCCGATGCAGGGTAACAAAAGAAGACCCAGCCAATCAGCTGGGACTCAGGAGGCAGAGAATAGATGGGGCGGGGCCAATCAGAGGTGGTATTTGCCAGTTCTCCGAACTAGTAAATTTTTTTGCTACCGGTTCTCCAGAACTGCTCCGAACCTGCTGAATGCCACCCCTGGAGCCTACATTTAGATGATTTATAAACATTGCTCCCTCCCAAATCAACACTGATAAGATGTTGTAGACATCCATAAAATCAAAGAACAGGAGGGGAATCCCCAGCTCCAATCTTCTTGCATCTTCAGTATGTCTACATACCTACACAATTCAATGCATTCTTATCTAGTAACCTTCTGAAGCAGAAGTTCCCAATGGGATGTTATATAATTTTCACCTACCTTGAAGGTGTACCTTTAGTCGCTGTAAACCAGGGGTGTCCAACCTTGGTAACGTTAAGCCTGGAGGACTTCACTGGCTGGGGAATTCTGGGAGTTGAAGTCCTCCAGGCTTAACGTTACCAAGGTTGGACACCCCTGCTGTAAACTGTTTTGCTTCTTTGCTTTATTTGGTTTAATTTGGTTACATTTTGATCAGTAGCCAGGTCATGCTGTAACATAAACATGCATCCAAGGTACTTGGATGATAAAGATCTACCTGGGCATCTTTATGTAAGGGTCTAAATATTTCCCATTACATTCCCAGTAGCACCAGTCAGCATGATTAAATAATAAGGCATAATAATTCCTCAATATCCAGAGCACTACTTGTTCCCCAGTCTTCCTCTAGATCAGGGGTGTCAAATTTAAGGTCCATGGGCTAAATCCAGCCTGCAATGTAGTTAAATCTGGCCCACAGGGCTGCCTTGGAAACAGAAAAGGACCGGCCCCTGGTGCCTTAGCCCCGGCCCAGGTCGACTGGGCACTGATCTAAAAGTTGGTGGCGGCTGTTTGGGCAAGAATACGGACATCCTTAGATCCATGGCGCTGCTGTGGAGCCAGCGAGGGGTACCCCCATCCCACTCCTGGATGAGCCCTGGAGACAATGGATTCCCCCCAGCCCCACCCAAGCCATCCCAGGTGCTCCCTAATGTCAGCAATGTAGAGCTGGCCCCCCAAGGTCAACCACAATCCCGATGCAGCCCTCAATGAAATGAAGTTTGACACCTCTGCTCTAGATCATGGAGCAGAATAGTCAGACGGTATCCATAAATGGTTGGAAAGTGATATAAATCCAGATCTGGAAATTGATAGACTCATAGGCTTAGAAGAAACGTTGGAGGTCTTCTAATCATCACTTCAATCTCCTGTCCTTAGCATGAGATGTGATATCACCCCAGACAAATGGTTATCTCATCCTTTCTGAATATCCCCAGTGAGGGTGCACCCACAAGTCCAGGAGTCAAGCTGTTTCATTGGTTAATTGTTCTCAATGTCAGGAAATTTCTCCTGAGTTACAGATTGGATCTTTCTTTACCAAGTTTTCACCCATTGGAAAATAGGACAAGAAGCAACAGGTGGAAGTTTACTGGAATTCAAACCAGATTAATCTCAGCAAGTCCGGGTATACTGAAGGAGTATCTGTCCTTGCCCTAATTTCATTTGCATTTCTGATCCTTGATATAGTTGAATAAAATTATGACACAAAACCTTCCCTTGTTCTAATTTCATTTGCATTTCAGGTCCTTGATACTGTCCCTGTGACACAAAGCCTTTATTTTGGGTGTTCGGAGATGCAAGACTGCACTTATTAAATTCACATTTCATCATGTTTCATCACCACATTTCATGTTATGAAACATTGGGTTATATTCAAGATATTTCAGGACAAAATAAGGAATATATATATATATATATATATATATATATATATATATATATATATGCAATAATTTATGGAGATTTGCTGAAATTAGTATAGGGATCAAGCCAAGAGATTGAAACATCAGTACAGAATGTCATTATTTCCTCCAACAGAAATGATAACATAACAGTACAAGGCACTGTAGTTGGCAGCTTCACCAAGACCCCACACAGCCAGGTAAAAATACACTTCATGACAATATAATTACAGTAGAATCTATCTGTCTACTAGCTATTCCAATCTAGGTAAGATGAAATTTAATTTCTCTTGAGTCAAGCAAAACTTTTTATCACTATAGGCATACAACTATGTTGTTTTCTTGGAACCAATAAAGTCACAATTTAATATTTAATAGTCTCTGGGATTTTGTTTTCAGTTTAGAATAGAATAGAATAGAATAGAATAGAATAGAATAGAATAGAATAGAATAGAATAGAATAGAATAGAATAGAATA